AGGAGGGTGGGAACATTACGGAAAACAGTATTATAAAGGGAGAAGAGCAGCTATTTCTTACTCCTGATAAAAAAATGTAATTGTACTGTATTGATGGGTGGGACGAGACAAGGGAATACTGTAAAAATGATCATTCCAATGTCCTTATGTAAGAAAAATATTTCTTAAAGATGTTGTTGCTATGCATGTATATGGATGGAATAAAATTCCAGATCTGTTGGAAATTTTTATTTTGATGTGGTGTCAATTAAACTTCAATCCTCAGGATAAACAGACCATGTTATTGTCTTCTTTCAGGATGTCTAATGTAAACATTTCCAGGTCTCATCAAAAGGGGAAATGTACGCGCATGTGTGTGTGTGTGTGTGTGTGTGTGTGTGTGTATAGGGAGAGAGTTTTAGATTTGTTTTACCAAAACAATTTATTTTTATTTTAAAAACTGTGACATTGTTTAAAAAAAGTCCTTGTTTTTTAAGGAAAATATCATTTCTATTTTTTATATATATATATATATATATGGCAAAACATTAAATGTCCATGCCAAATACTGGCGTTAGTTATACTTTTGTGCATAAGTTCAACAAGGAGTGGAGCTTGCACACACAATGGTAGATTTCTTACAAACAAAATTCATTTAGAGATCAGTAAATAAAATTGAAACTGTTATTGTTGCAGCCCAATTTTTATTTTTATATTTCCTGTTTTGATTATAATTTTTGTTAGTTTTACATCTATGTTTTTGTTCATTTTTATTAGTTTTTTGGTTCTTATATATTTAATTTAAATTTTATTTTTAAATAAAATTAACATATTTATTAGTTTTTGTCTATATAGTTTTTATTTCAGTTTTAGTTATTTTAGTACATTAATATTAACTAAAAGAAAATGAGAAATGCAGCCTTGGCAACTAGTTGAAATAAAACATGTTTTCGATTTTATTTTATTTAAGTTTATTTAATTTCAAGTAATACATTTAATTAATAGTAATAGACTGAACTAACTATAATAACCCTTTGCAATGCATATTATATAGAGTGGTTTTAAAAACACTTAAATCACACATAAAAAATATTAAGTTCTTATTGCAATACATTACAAACTAAAAATTACTGCAAAAAATTTTAATTCACGCAGGTGTCCTATCAGAGTAATTACAGGTGTAAATCATCACAATAACTATAAACATATATTTCACTAATGAAAGTGTCCAATCCTAATTTTGAACAGTATTTTTTTTTTAACAAATTTATGTTTTTTGGTGCCACTAAGTACAGACGTTTATCAAACTATTAATTGAAGGTAAAGTCTTACCTCACTGGAGATGCGCTCTCATTGAGAAAGAAATGCTTGTCTACTGCAGCACTCTGATGGGCAGGGTACACAGCAGATATTTCTGACATGAGAATCACAAGGGGAAAAAATCAAAATAAGCATTGATTTCTATATTGATTTCTTCTTCACTTAATAGCTGAGACAAAATGTATTTAGATAGACATATATTACTGTACTGTATATGCCACGACAGTGGTCAAGAGACGTGAGTTGTTCCAATGTTTAATTTTCACTCTTTGGTCATTGTAATATACACTCAGTGACCTCAGACAGACACACTTGAAAGTGTCAAGTCAACACTTGAGTCAACAGCACGAGGGGAGCAGATCCTCTCATGAAGAACAATCCGTCATTCTGAGAGACAGAGCGGTCAAATTAAATGTCGACAGGCATTTCAAGAGCCGCGATTCCTCTCAGTTAAACATGAAAGCACTATGTAGCCGCTAATTGCTATTTGATTGTCTGTGTTCTTATGCAAAGAAGTCCTATGTGAATGCACTGCCAGCACCTTTTCCTTTATTTCTTTAAATCATGTGATTTATAGTTTGAACATGCATTGACCAGTCACTAAGAGCAATAGCAACAGACTTAATATCAGGCCTGAAATACTTGATATGCATGACGTGATGTTGACATGGTCTGCAGCATGGCATACTATACTGCATTTTGCAATTTTTAGAATTATGCATGCAACTAAATTAGTTAAGAGATAGAATATTTGTGCTTTTAATAAAATGTATGTCATTCCATAGCTTCATTGAAATTAATTTAGTGAAAGCAAAAAGGTGTTTAAAATAGTGGGAAAAGTTTAAAGACCATTCTATATATTGTAAATAAAACAAAAGCCCACAAAGTCAGTATAGGTTATGCACTACCATTCAAGAGCTTTGCATCACAGGAATACAATACATTTGAAAATATATTAAAATACAAAAAAAAGCTATTTTACTGTTGTTACTGTATTTTTGATCAAATAAATTTAGTCTTGATGAGCATAAGAGACTTCTTTTGATGCCAACCTTTTGAACAGTAATCATGTTTGCATTGCAGTTTCCAAATGTAGCACATATACAGAGTTCTGGCATGAAACTCTAGATGGCGCAGTCCGATAGGTCTAGCTCAATCTGTCCTGGTGACATCATTGTCACATGGCAGCTGATTGGTTCTCTCCTGTATCGGTAGCCAATGAGCTTACTCCTCAATATTCAAATACCTGGCTTTTGTTTGCTGTAGCAGTATTGCAGTGCACTTCAGAAACCCTCCACCTTCCCCAGCTCCACCTGTATAGATCTGCTACGGGGTGATTCCTGTATGCTATATGGGGGTTATTCATATGTGTTAAATGTGCAGCAGCAGTATTTCTTACATGCTTACAGCAGCATGTTGTGGATGTATTGGCAGTAGCAAGTCTTGGTACTTGCTCTGCCGCAGCAGCAGCAGCGTAGCAGATCTATTCCACCAAGGCCAAATACATTAACATTATCATGTACATTACCATGCCAATCCCTCCGAGAGTCGTCATAACAGAAATATAGTTCACTTAGCATGCATCTGTGGTTGCAACTATAACCTGAGGTTCATTTATACGTTTATAATAACTGTAGACTATGCCATGGATGCATTTTGCTTCAAGTAGCCTGCTGCATTTACACCAACAACACAAGCAAAGTTGTTTTTGACTCTAACAAACACCCAGATATTTTAAAGCTTGTTAATTTTATGTTGTTTTGTTGAAATCTATCGTTACAAAGAAACATATTGCTTTCGTTTTATGCTTCTAATGTTTCCCAGACAAATGAGACAGAGGTCTTAAAAACACTGTGTCTGTTTTTATGCAGATAGAGAGGAAGGATGGGCATGTATGAAATAACGAGAGAGAAAAACACACCTAGTCATCACCACCTTCCTGTTGTGCATTAATTATTTCAACCTCCTTATAAAGGCAAAACATTCCTCTGAATCACCTCTTCCGTTCCTCAGGTCAACCTTCGATTCATGTCGCAAATGGGAATCTGTAGCTTTTTGAGGGGAAGAGAGGCCATTCAAAATTCTAATAAATGTTTTGCATATTCGTGGCCGCATGTTAACATGCATGAAATTGGGTGGAACTGGAGCGAAGAGAGCGGCCTGTACCTTGACTGCACGCGGCTGTTTTGCATCGTGACCTGAGAAACCCTGTCTGAAGGCGTTTCAAAAAGCCTCCACGTCAGTCTCTGTCTGCAGCCTCTCATATTCACACAATCCGGGAAAGTTGTTCATTTTAGACAACTGATCATTAAGCTGCTCCTCTTGTTCTCCAGAAACCCTGCCCTGCATGTCAACCGGCTCATAGAGACAACTGTAATTTATGCCACAGTACCACCAAGTGGCCATGTTGTAAGACCAGCGTTTCCCAACCTTTTTTGTCTCACAATACGATCACAACACAAAATAAAATAAAATAGTAAAATGGTGGTGTGAACGTGAAAGACAATGTAATTTTTACTGATATCAATGAGAAGATGACTAAAGAAATCTGGAGTCTTTGTATAAAGTCCAAGTGTCTGCAAGTGTCATTCACACAAATTGACAACTTACATTGCTTTGTTTAAAAAAGAATTGAATGCAATAAAATGGCAAAGATGAAATGCGCACTTAAATGTTGTTAAGCAGGTATCCTGATCGCCATCCTTCAAAAAAACAAAAAAACTGTTCAATTATTTTAATCATTTGACAGCTAATATGCATTTTTTTATTTTAAGTTGTAATTTATTTGTATAGTTATAACAAAATGTAGTTATTTAAGAAATTATTTTAATCTTCTGACTGCTATTTTTAAAGTTGTAATTTATTTTTATAGGTTTACACGTAAATCCAAAATTAGAGAAAAGACCAATTTTTTTTTATTATTATTAAAATGTTTATAGGGTTAACAGGTAAAAATTTTTTTATAAAAAAGTACTTTTTTCAGAACTTTGAAGGGGGAAATCTTGAAATTAATCTCAAATAATTATTTTAATCTATTGGCCTTTGTATTTTTTATTGTAATTTCTTTTTATAATTTTAACAAATAAAACCAAATTATTTTAGAACTTCAAAGAAAATCACAAAATTAATTACAATGAATTATCTTAATCTTTCAACAGGTAATATATATATATATATATATACTATTTTTTTTTTTTTAAGTTTTCATTTCTTTTTATAGGTTAAATTAGTCAAATTAAATGTAGTTATTTTAGAGTTTCAAATAAGAAAATCATGAAATTAACCATAATGGTCACACTTTATTTTAAGGTCCATTTCTCACTATTTACTAGCTATTAACTACGACTTTTGCCTTAATAAACTCCTAATTACTGCTTATTAATAGTTAATAAGGTAGTTGTTAAGTTTAGATATTGCGTAGGATTAGGGATGTAGAATATGGTTAAGCAGAATATGTGCTTTATAAGTACTAAAAAACAGCCAATATGCTAGTAATATGCATGCATATAAGCAAGTGAGACTTGGTCCCTTTACTGAAGTGTTGCCACCATAATTAATCTATGGACAGCTAGTATGTATATATATATATATTTTTTTTTTTAGTTTGACCATTTTATCAAGTTTTAATTAATCTCGTTTTATAGGTTTAACAAACAAACTTGAAACTTGTTCAATACTTTTTTAGTATGTGTACCCCTTGTTGGAAATTACAGTTTAAAAAAAAACTAGAAGCAGTGACACCATAACCTTGAGTTGTATATGTACACACTGATCTGCTTACAAGACACGATTAGCCATCAAACAGTGAAAAATGAAAGAGAAAATCTGCTAAGCAGGAAATTTAATGACCACAATAGCAGTTCATTATCAGGGTTGATGACTGAACGGATGCCGGTTTAATCCATGAACTATGAGCAGGCTCAGATGGAGTTTGTGGGCTGACCTGTCGCTGCAGGAGTTCCTCTGAGACGTCGCCTCCCTGAATGACTGGCTTCAACACACCCAGAATAATGAGCAGACGACTCAAACCTGCAGCTGCAGAGAACTGCATCATCTGCAGGGACGGGACGAGGTGAGAGTACCTGTAAAAATATACAAGCATAAGATTTCAAAGGGGTCATAACATGAAAAATCAGATTGCAGTTCAGTGTCTGCTGTGATGAACTGCATTAATTGAGCGGTCATTACCCACGCATGAAGGACTAAATGACTCCTCACTGCGCTGTCTAATGCTTCACAATGACAGCTCATTTATGAAGAATGAATCAATGACACAGAAACACTGATCAACACTCTTGTGAAGAATATTTAGACACGTTTAGAACACTTCACACATGATAAAACCCTTCTGCTGATACTCTGGAGGTTGTGGCTGGATGGTTGCTATGGAGTTGCTAGGGTATTATGGGCTTGCTGACTGCTCCAATTCAAAATCTGTCTATGATTTTTTTTTGTATGTTTTTTAATCATCCAGCAGGCGTAAATCTAGTTAGTCTGATCGCTTAGAAAGATAAGAGAATGCTCTCCTCAAAACCCAAGTGATTTGACAGACAAATGACAAAATAATACTATAAAAAATTAAATGTGTGATTTTAAAAATGCAAGTTATAGGGAAGGTTTTATGCACATGTGGTTTCATCAGATATCATCTCATTTGAACAATGAGAAAAGAGCACAGCGCGAGTTATGTTTCCGCAAAAAATTACTTATGAACCGTTTTTTTTCCCCCCAGTGAGCCTTGAATTTTTTACTTTTATTAAAACACTTCAAATAACAAACAGGAATTATCATGGTTAAACACACACACACACACACACACAAATCCAAGCAGCATATTAAATTACAAAACAAAATTTCATAAAACAAAAACACAAAAAATACATACCATGCATAAAGTCAAATTATACATAAATTAAACTTGTGGTTTAATCAGTATATATTGCAAATAATTCAGTTTTAAGGCATTTAAGGTTTTTCAGCTGCTTTAAAAATGGATATAAAATGTTCGTTTTTAACACCATTTTTAAAAGCCATGTAGCTTGCCTGTATTCAAAACAATATTACACAAAAATGCAACCTACTTGCTCTTGAGTTAGCAGTTTGAATCAAACTCACTCAGTGAATCATTCAGAACCATTACTGACATCCAGACTGAACCACAAGTCATTTATCGGTTACAACCGACTTATATCACTCTGTTTTCTTACTGTTTGGTCATATTAAATTACAACTAAAATTAATTTGACTCCTAAATGTTTCTTTAGGAAACACTGCATTATGAGTTGTGTGCTTTCAATGCTTACATTCAAGCATTTGTTCAAATAGTTGGCTAATAGTTATGCACGACTTTTGACCGATAACCACGAAAAATGGTCCAAAACCACTGATTGGCTGCGTAGGAATATTCTGAAATACTCTAGAAAAAAATACACATCCAAATGTTCGACCTTCCATCAAAAGTTTAGCATTGAAAGTTTAAGACTGAGAGTTTGTGCTCATCTTTTAAAATATTCTTTTCCGTGTCATTTTACCACTTTTTCATCGAACCGTTCTTCTCTGACACCTTTTCATCTGTCAGCATTTCCCCCAAAACATAGCCCGTATCGGGCCTGACAATTTGACTCGGAGTCAAATCAGTCCGTTCGCTCTGGCATTTTATTTCCACCTGTCCTATTCTCTCCATTTCGTCATTCTATCAATTCCTCCAGTGCTAATTCTGCCCGGCAGGTCTGGATTATGCGCAGGAAGGCATGCGTGTCAAAGGGAACTTTAACGAGGGTAAAGACAGTCCTGATAGGAGGATGAATTAAACCGATAACAGCAGGCAGATGGAGTGAGGAATTCGTGTCAAGCAAAACGCCTCACCAATGTTGGTCATTTTCCCTTCCGTTCTCTCTCTCTCTCCTTCCCCCCTCCTTAAGCATGACAGAAAACTATCTAAATGAATAAAAAGTGATGAAATGACTTTGGTGCCGTAGACTTTCTGCTCTTTGACTTCCCATCTGGATTAGTGCAGGCTGAATGGAGTCTGTTTCTTTTGAAAGAACTAACACATGAGTCTGTCTGAATGTTTCTCTCTCTTTGACACACACACACATTCTGTGTTTGATAAGAGTCCATCTGAATTTGCATGGTAAATTATGTCCTGTACGACCACTAGAGCTGCCCAGACGGACTGCAGAAGGTTATGACAAACAAATTATTCAGCTGACTATTTACCATGATTCAAATGGATATGACTGCCAGCCTAATACAAACTTGTTCAGTATATCTTGTTCATGTATTAAATTTTGATTTGTCTGAAATGGCCATTTTTACATAGCAAAAGCAGTACAATTCAACTGAACAAAACACAATGAATGCCTATAAATGTTAAAGATGAAATGTGTAATTCTGTGCCACTGCCATAACCAAATAAATTTGCAAAAACAATCCAACATTGGTTGATCAAACAGATATGGTTAAAGGATTATGCAAAGGCAATATTTATAACAAACTGAATTTTGAATTTTTTTTTAAACCAGCCTAACCTTGTCTGCTGGTCTGTTAGCTGGTTTTAGAACGATTTGGAGAACTTTTCAGTCTGCCAGAGACCACCTTAAACCAGCATAAAGACCAGAAAACAATTTTTTTTAGCAGGATTTATTGTACTTATTTTGTGATTTTTATAATAACTCAATGCATTAGAAGTGTCTGGAGTCATTATTAAAAAAAATAAAGTTGTCCCAGGTCGCATGAATTTATGACTTTGACTACAGTAAACAACAAATTTGATTCTTCCTTATCTCGTGACTCACATGACTCAAGTATGAGAATGGAACTGTTTTTAATGTAAAGTAAGTATTTAGGCTAGAGTTGAGACGCTCAATTCATTTCTGGGAAGTTCAAACTGTCAATTTCAATAAATCGACTTGACCTGGCTACTTCATGGCTTTATCACTCAAAAATGCTCACAAAAGTCCTCATGACTTTTCTTGTATTAAAATATTCAAAAATGGTATATGCAAAATTAGTTTAAAAAAATTATAAAAAAATTAAAAGCAATAAACATTAAAAGCATTAGAATGATATTAAAATAGATTTTTATATTAGTTCCTGCATTAAACATTTCGAATCTCCTTGGCAAAAATGGCCGTTTGGTTGAAATAATGCTTACTTTTAAGCTATTTCAGAAAATTGCACAAAGCAACTGGATAACAGCTATAGTTGAGACTTAATGCCAACTGTGTATAAAGCCACTAAATATACACTGCTGTTCAAAAGTTTGGGATCAGTAAGATTTTTAATGTGTTTTAAAGAAGTCTCTTCTGCTCATCAAGGCTGCATTTATTTGACCAAAAATACAGAAAAAAACAGTAATATTGTACAATGTTATTACCATCTATTATCAATGTTATAAACAGTTGTGCTGCTTAATATTTTTTTGGAAACTGTAATACTTTTTTCAGGATTATTTGATAAAATTAAAAAGAACAGCATTTATTTAAATAGAAATCTTTTGTAACAATATAAGTCTTTACTATCAATTTTTATCAATTGAACACATCTTTGCTGAATAAAAGCATTCATTTCTTTAAAAAAAAAACTAACTGAATAGTGTATATTGTTACAAAAGATTTCTATTTTGAATAAATTCTTCTCAAATTTGTATTTTTTTTGCTTTTTATTCATCAAAGAATCCTGAAAAAAGTATCACAGGTTCCAAAAAAATATTAAGCAGCACAACTATTTCCAATATTGATAATAAATCAGCATATTAGAATGATTTCTGAAGGATCATGTGACACTGAAGACTGGATGGTGAAAATTGAGCTTTGCATCACAGGAATAAAGTATATTTTAAAGTGTATTAAAATAGAAAACCATTATTTTAAATTGCAATGATATTTCACAATATTACTGTTTTGTTCTGTATTTCTGATCAAATAAATGCTGTCATGATGAGCAGAAGAGACTTCTTTAAAAAAAAAAACATTACAAATATTACTGATCTCAAATGTTTGTGTACAGCAGTGTACAGTAGAGAAGTTCGCAGAGGTCGTGAGGTCTTTCTGAAAGTGGCCAGTAGGGGGCGGTCACGTCTCACTGTGAGTGAACACTAACGGCTGGAAACACAGCAAGGCTAATGTGGCCTTCCTTCATTACTGATGACTGACAGTACTTGCTCCAGCACTAAAAGCTCTAATTACTGATAATTGTCATTACTGGAGCCAGACCAATGTAATTCCAGAGGGATTTCTCACTGCAGAAGAAATGAAAGAAAAGCTACACAAATGTTACAGGCAAGGCCAGCAATTTTCCCAATATGATTTTCAACCACTGAAACTGAATAGCTTCAGCATGCTTAACTATGGACATAAACTGCACCTAGCTGTAAATACCCATGTAACTGGAGCTTTACATGGCTGTTTAAATATTACATGAGTTTTTATGTTGGCTGTATATTAGTGTCTGTGAGCAACTCAGTTTTTGAGTGCTAACAAGTGTTGTCAGACTGGCTCCTTTTAGCTCTGACGAATGAGTAAATATTTGCTCTTACAGTGATTTGGACAGCTGACAATGATTGGGACAATTTATTATTAAATAAATAAATGTGTTGCAGGCACTAGAATAGCTGCAAAAGTTAAGGATTTTATGCTAAAATTCATATTTACTATAAAAATTATTTTTAAAAATAAAAATATTCCAATCATACTGAAATAACATGGATTATCAGATTTTGCACAAATGTATGGAATTGATGTCAGCTCAGGACAAACCAAATACTAAGAAATTCTCAAATATTATTCATTTGAATTTTGAAAATTAAATATTTTTATATTGAAAAAAATATCAAATGTATTTTTAATATATATGAACAAATGATTTTATAATTAAAAATCCAATATCAAATATAAATAATGTTACTATTTCATTGTATAATTTAAATTTATAATTTAATAAATTGTAATATAATATATATAATATATAACACTTATAATTTATATAAATATGTATATATTAATATGAATATGTAAATATATTTAAATATAATTATATATAAATATATTTATAAATATTTACATTTACATATATTTATTTTTTATTTATATATATTTACATACCACCATGAAGTTCCGAAATAATTCATTTCAAAGAATTCCATAGTATTTCAATGTATATGAAATATTAATGTTATATTAATTCAATTAATTTTCCTGTAAAAACAAGTTAAAAGTGAAGCGTGTAATATTGTTTAACTAGCATAACCAAACTTAATAATTGTCAAAAAAAAAATAGTTTTCATTGTGTCTGACAAGTCAGGATGATCAAACAAACAGAGTAATATTTTGTTACAGCTACAGTTTGTATGCTTTTCAGAGAAATCAACCTCTGAATGGCTTACTTAAAGTAAAAGAACGTATTTTGACACCTTTAAAAAATGACACACTTCACCATTTCTTCCTCTGGCTCTCAGTATTAGGATAGATCTGGGATTTGAGGAATCGTGTTTGTGCCTCACACACTCTCTCTCTCTCTCGGCTGATGACTCACCAGAACTGCTGCCACTTCTCCTCTTCAAAAACATCCTCTGGGATCGGATCGATCAACACCAGGTCAGACACTTGCCTGAAGAGACAGAGAGAGAGAGAGTGAAAAGACCACACAGAGGATGTTTCTAGAGCTCAGATGAGACGCCACATACACCAAGCGAGCTCCTCCTGTAACCAGGGAGAAATAAACAGCATCTATCGAGTGAGATGAATGGGCTCAGAGCCGCAGCGGGGACAATATTTTCAGTCCTTGGGCGCTACAGGCCTAACGCAGCTGAATTTATGGGTCTTAAAGCTGCACATCAGAGCAGATGAAAGGTTAAATCTGTCAGATGGAGGGTTTGGGGGAGTGTGCCCCAAACCCTCCGAGACCGAGAGGTCGTACCAAGCTGCACTGATGGATCTTTTGGTCATGGCAGGTATAAATGTCTGGAAGAAAAACCCTGTTAGGCATATATAACACTATTCATCAATGTATTGTACACTGCTGGTCAAACACTTGGAATAATTATGACTTTTTTATGTTTATAAATGAGGTCTCTTTTGCTCATCAAGGCTGCATTTATTTGATCAAACTGCAATATTTTGAAATATTATAAACTGTTTTCTATTTTATTATATTTTAAAAAGTAATTTATTTCTGTTGTAGAAAAAAGTTTTTTTAGTGTCACATGATTCTTCAGAAATCCTTCTATTGTGGTGATTGGTGCTCAATTAATATCAATTATTATTGGTGCTCAGTTATTAATAATGGTCCTTATTATAAGTGTTGAAAATGTGTTGTTACCAATGTTTCTACTGCTTATTATTTTTGTGGAAACCCTGATACAGTTTTCTTGATTCTTTGATGAATAGAAAGTTCAAAAGAACAGCATTTATTTGAAATAGAAGTCTTTTGCAAGATTATACATTTTTTACTGATCAATTTAATTTCTTCTTTTTTTATCTTACTTACCCCAAACGTCTAAATGTATCAAAGTTTCCAAACAATTAAGCAGCACAAATGAGTTCAGCATTGATAATAATAAGAAATATTTCTTGAGCAGAAAATCATCATATTAGAATGATTTCTGAAGGATCATGTGACACTGAAGACTAATGTAATGATGCTGAAAATTTAGCTTGGGAACACAGGAATAAATTACATTTTCAAATATATTTAAATTGCATTTAAACTGCAATATTATTTTATAACATTTTTGTTTTTACTATATTTTGATCAAATAAATGCAGCCTTGTTGAGAATAAAAGACTCCTTTCAAAAGCATTAAACAAATCTTTTAGTGCACAAACGTAACGTGCATTCTGTGGTGGAAACAAACTTCCTGACATGTTCATATATGACTGACAGACTGTGTCAGCATGACTTACGTGTCATGGATGTGGCTGTAGAACCTGCCGTTGAGCGTGCCCAGCTCAGAGCTAACCAGGATGAAGGGTGTGGCTATATCTGCAGCCTTGACCAATCGATGAAGGTCATCCACCATCCTGAAGGATAAGAGAGGAGAGATACAGGTCAGGAATGAGCGCAGGTTTGTGCAGAAAAAAAGTCTAGACATGACTCATCTGAGAGTTCATTAATCACTGAGACACATTATGACACACATGTCTGTTCACCTTCAGACGGGACACCCACTGTCCCAGACTGCTGCCCAGTTTTTAAAGCGGTCAGTGATGTTACATTAAGGATAAACTGACCTCAAACCAGACGCTGCCACACAAAACTAATAAGCACTGTGTACCATGAGACACTAATGGGTTTTATTTCTGACATCCTCATTAACTAAAAGGCCATGAAGATTCAGTGGGCACTGAGTGATTTACTGCAGTTTGTCTTTGGGATGTGCAGGGGGTCAAGAAAACGGTCAAGAAAAACTAAAGACTGACCGACATTGCTTTTCTCAGACTGACATCAGTGAAGATTCCATGAGTCATTTTTACAGAACAAATATTTAATATTTGATTTATTTCTACCTTTTGGCATAATAATAAAAACAAAAAATAAATAATAAAAATAATAATTATATTATTATTGTTATTATTATTATTAACAAAAATAATAATTATTGTTGTTGTTTATGCCATTACATTTATGCATACTATTATTATATTTATGATTATTTCACATCATCTAAATGGTCACACATTTATTTTCATCTTTGTTTTTGTTGTCTAATCATTAAGCACACATTTCTAGTGTTTCATTCAAATTGTGAATATTCATTATAAAAAATCATCATGTTTCATATTTAATTCAGCAAGTGGTGACCTGGTATTATTTAAGTTTAAATTATTTAAATGATTTAGTTTGCATTTTTTTATTCAATTTTGTGTCGAAGTCCAATCAAAATATGTTAAAAACAGTGGTTGATATTTATTCTTTGATCACACTGGAAAAAGAAGGTCAAGTTGAGCACATTGCAGGATACAGTATTACACACAATGTTTAGTACTGTAGTATATATAGTCAACAAGTCTAAGAACAAAACAGCATGTCCTTCTCAAAAAATTTAAAATGTAATTAGTATGTATGTACTATTGGCTTTCCTTCAACATCAAATCACATCAGTTTCCAAATGAAAAGGTTTCAGTAAAAAACAAAAAGGACACATTCTTGCTCCCGGCTTATTGAACTTTAGGAAAATTAATATCTTGCTGTCCGCCTTCTAAATGTGCCAGACAGAGGAGAAAACAGGACCACTCGCTAAACATCACTTTAATGCATGAAGAAATGTTACCATGTCAACAGCAACAAGATAAGTGTGACTCCACACGTAGGATGAATAAACCTGAAGGCAGGACGTTTGGTTGCCAGAGGACAAGGACAAAGACATCTCTGTCTTACAGCCCTGATTGAATAGTAGAGCAGGTCAATGTCAAAGATACGAGATGCACAGATACCTGCGATAAACTGTTAAGGTGGGAGGGGTTTTTAGATTTACTGCCTAACATATCCATAAAAGCTTTATGTATAGACAAGTACACTACAATTCAAAAAGTACGTTTTTTTTTATTCATTTTAATTATTAAAATAATAAACTGACACTTACTAGCAAGGACACATTAAATTGGTTAAAAAAGACATTTATAATGTTACAAAAAATTTATATTTCAAATCAATTACATTTAAAATATATACAAAGAGAAAACACTTTTCAAATTGTAATAATAGTTCACTATAATATTTGCACTGTATTATTATTCAAATAAATCATGTGACTTCTTTCAAAAATATGAAAAATCTTGCCCACTGTAAAAAAAAATCCGTAAAATTCACAGAAAAAATCGGCAGATGTGGTTGCCGGAATTTTACCGTAAAAAATATGGTAGCAACGGTTTAGGTTTTAACTTAAATTTACAGTTAAATACTGTATTTTCATTAACTGATATAATGTTAATAAACCAATCTATTGAAGTACTGAAATCTGTTTTGCACCTTTGTAATACACTGATAACCACCAAATGCAGGTGGTGATGAGAAAGTCACATGATGAACCAAAGCCCATCACAAGCAACTTTTAGATAATAACATATATAGAAGGTGCACAGTGTCATTCACACAAACACTAAACACACATGAAACTGAAATAATGCAATAAACATTCATTTAACAACATTAGGTGTAACACACAACCCTAATATACAAAACTGATAAGAAAAAACTAAGAAGAAACATCAAATTTGAAATGCAACGCAGGGAATTCTGGGAATGTCAATTTACGGTTATTCACTGTAAATTATATGGTCTTTTTCACTTCCAAAAACGGTATACTACCATAAAATTAATGCCCAATACAGTTTTTCACCGTTTATAGTAGGGGAATTTACCGTTAACCATTTAACAGGTTTTTACTGTAGCATTTTTACAGTCTTTTACCGTTAAATTCACGGTCATTTTTTACAGTG